ATGAATTATGTTTTATCAGTTTAAGCATATTCAGACTCATTAACCGTGTTCTTATGATTTACAGCAGTACCTTTTTTTTCTCATTTACACAAAGTGGTATGTGTACTAGATTAATTGTAGAATTATGCGAACAAAACACATCAAAATAGTAAGATTGTACAATTTTGATCATAAGTGGTAAAAATGATCTATTTCCCATTCTGAACGATATTCATTGAATTTTAGTAAAGTCCCGTCGCTCGTTATGATTACAAAATTCATCCGTGCACTTTTTCTTGGTTTCTATGTAAAACTGCCTTCAGTTAGTCAACCTGGCTCAATCTGTGTCGCATTGGAAAAACTGCTTTACTAATTAGATTCAATACCAGACAGATAGTTTATAATGCGACACATAGTATTTTTGTAGTTGTTTGCTCCTTATGTGAACAAAGCAAACATATGTGAATACGTCCATTTTTGGATGTGCTCTGGAAAGATGAGATCGATCGCTTTGAGATAAATTAGATGTTTCTTGAAGTGCATATACAAGCAGACAGTCGAAGAAGAAAGTCACAATGACGTCAGAAATGAATCATCTTAAATTGATTTATACTAGACTAATAATAGTTTCATTTATTTTTTATCGCATCAACTGGCATCGACAAATCTTCCATTAATAATGACGTCTTTAGGAGAATTTATCAATCTCCAACTGAGAGGCTTCTCAACGAAATCATGTCTTGTCAAATGTGCTAAATTGAAAACTAGATTGAAACGATGATCAAAATTTTTAATATAGTATTGAGTAGGATATTATTAACTGATAATTCAATCAACGATTTTAAAGTACTAAAGTATATTAGCATTATTATTTATGCGCTATGAACATGACAGCTACCCAGGAGATTCATACCGGCCGTCCGAAATGCCGTCTCAAACTGCCACAAACGGTGAAAAAACAGCGTACTACGTGCCCTAAACGATGTAAAAAAACGTCGTTTTTCACCCTTTTTAGCCGTTTTTCATCGGAACGTTTACGACATCGATTAAGGTCGTCTCCGATACATAATGGTGCGAGATGAAACGACTTATATTCTCATCCGTTATCATCCGAATCTCGCCGTTTTCAACCATTTCAGATGAGAATTGCTTTCATCGTTTATCTCTTTTTTCAAATATACAACATAGTAATATTATGATATATTTATTTTCATCTTAAATATATTTACAGACAAAAATAATAATAACATAAAATAAAACACACCGGTTATGCGAAACAAACCAGGCAAAAATTACATGACGAGCAGTATTAAGTACAAGTATCAAACAAGAAGTATTTTCGACAGGAACAATTTCATATGACACACAACAAGGTTTCAGAAAAAAATTCAAATAAAAAAAGTGCAATCTAATATGAATCAATATCAATTGTTTGATACCAGTATTAATATGCGCAAGACTTGTGAACATCTTGTGTAGCTGCAAAAGTTAATTGAGTACTCGGAGTTGAGCTTACTGTTGTTGTTCTTTGTTGTTGTGATGATTGCTATTGCTGCTCGTTCGAATCTTGGTTGTTGTTATTTGCTTTTTGCTTTAATTTTCTTGTTCCTTGATCATATAAATATCGACTTCATTTTACACGTAATGTATTGGTGTAATAACGACGATAACCATCTTCCGATAGCCGATATTTGGTACGTATCGCATCTAAAAAAACTCAAGTATGTTTTTTTTTGGTACAAGAAGACGCAATAAACTGAAGCAATATATGACTTTTAGTTTATTTTAGTGTAAAATCTAAGTTTTCTGAGAATTAGAAAGAATAACTGTTTCTTGTAAACAGAATCCAAAGAAAAATGAGATATCCAGCAGATCCATGTACATTTTTCTTGAAGGAAACTTAGTTTACAATATTTATAACTCCTTGCTAGATCGATTTTGTTGCTTGTTAGGTATAGTTTTCACTTAGCATTCAGAATTTTGAAACGCTCTTCATCCAAAGCATCTTTGTCGTATAAATGTACAACTGGTGACGGCAAAATACTAGATTGCAATTCCTTTTCCGTAAATAAAGCATCCAAAATTTTTCTTCCATAGTCACCAATATCACGAGCAGTAATTTGTAATAAATTTTTATCATTCCATGGCTATATAACAACAATATAAAAAGATAAAATAAAAGTTCAATATCTAAGTTTGCTTACAATCGTATCCCGATAGTTTTCTTTATCATTTTCATCACGATATGACGATAGTTGATCATTTCTTGTTTCAGCATTAATTCTAAATTTAAAAAAGGATAAACTGACATTAGAAAAGTTGAAAACTATAAAACATCAAACTTGGATCAGTATTACCAACATTTGTATTTGAATGAGGATGGTCATCTTGTGATGAATAGATTGATCGTGAAACATTACCTATTATGTTAAGTTTTAACATAAGACAAAGATACAAGCTATCGAAAAAGTAATTAATTCATTCAAACCAGTCATTTTATTTGGATAATGACTATATGAATTTTTAGCGGACAAATCATGGGTGTCAGTAATGTTGGATTCACGGTGACTATCATTTTGCAATGAACGATCTGTAACAAATAAAATATTTATGCAAAAATAAACGTGAAAATGAAAATTTGTAATTTCCAAGAACAAACCTCGGTTACGACGTTGACTTGATTGTGATGATGCCTTAAATTTATTATATGACCGTTTCAAAGCAGCTAAATGAAAAAAATAAATGTGATAATTGTTCAAGTGAATAGTGACAGTTTTACATGTACTAAAGCCATCGCTAGGTCTTTTTAAACAACTTGTTGATGGATGATTGATGTACGGCCTGTTACCATCATTATAATTATCATCAACTTCATCTTCGTCATCGTCGAAAGTCCTGATGTCGTCATCATCTTCGACATCATTTTCTTAAAGAAATGAATAGAATTCGAGAAGAGTTCAAAAGTTATTACCATCTCCTTCTTTGCCTTTGTTTTCGCATTCCATTTCCTGCATCTTGAGCTTAAGTTCTCGTCGGAAATGATCCATACTGCCTAGGATTTTTCAGAATATATTTCTCCTATTGCACAATACTTCCCATGGTCAGATAGATAAAGTCTAACCTGATGTTATGATCTGTACTTCACCAGCAATGTTGGAAACAACAGCTTTATCATTGGACATTTTTTGAACACTTGTACGACCGACAAGTCGATATCTTTCTGGGCCATCATGACAAATTAAATAATAGTTCGGTTGCAATGGATCCGATGGTGAAAAAGTTTTTTTGACTTTTTTTCTCGTTGTGCTCGGTCAAAAAACATTTTGATTGAATATATATGAATATATAATTGAATATTTATCTGAAAGTGAAAGAAAGATTCAACATACAATGAAAGAAATTAATCATACTCATTGTGTGTCGAGACAGGTGTAACTACAATACATTCACTCATGTCAAATACAATACAATGTTTCAATATAATCAGTTAATATAATTGTTTTTTTACAAGGACGATTTTCTAAAATAAAAAAATAATTGTCTAAAGGTTTTTTCAATAAATAATAATATTTTGACCGTTCAAAATAATCACTATACTTTCGCTTCACATGATATGTATTAACAAGAGCATAAGATTTTTCTTTTGATTTTAATGAAAAAAAGCATTCGATTGATCCAAAGTGATAATGACATTGATCAAAAGAATATTGAATAAAATAACTGTTGGATTTACCACGTTTTTTATAAATCAATGAATGAAATATTCGGTCGTTAATAACGAAACGACGATAAATGCTAAAACATTGACGTATTTGTTCACAACCACACAGTTCAATATGAAGATTATTATATTCATCATGAGGATCATTTACTGGATCAAGTTTTTCGATCTTTGTTTTTATTTTTGTTGGCTTCTTATGCAATGCAAAATCAATATTGTAATAATAAGTAATTAGTTCACCATAATATCTGGTAGCATGATGATTGAATCCAATAGACCCAATGAGATCCTCCTGACCAAAGCATCCAATATTTGATAATGCACCGTGGTTGTTATACATAGTCACAAAGTGTGCGTGTAAATGCAAGACTAAATTTTGAAGTCCTTCATAATGTTCACCATGATCACGGTAAAAATGTTGAAATAATTCATCGGCAATCTTGTTTGTTTCTAATCCAACTATTGATTGACCAGGTAATAAACGAGTAAAGCAAACAAATAATGCTAGATGAGATAATTTTTCGACGGACAAATATAACTGAAAAATAGGCAAAGCAACATAAAATAAAATATTTTTTAATTCAGTTGCCTTTACGAAACCAAAATTACTTATTGGTTTAATTTTCCGATTGAAATAATGTGGGAAATTTTGTTTTTTAAACCAATTATCAACTTGTATACGTTCAATTGGTTTTAAACTATAAAATATATTCGATACAATAGCTTTTGCGTGACCTAGTAAAGTGACATGAAAATAATCGATAATAATTGCATCAGGCAATGGTATATCAAGAATTGATGATAGAACACTTACACCAAAGTGTCCATATACATTAATTTGTTTATCTTCAGCAAGACGAGATTCTTCTTTGTATGCATCTCTATCACGCATAATCATTGGTAATTCAAATTCATATTGACGTTTGCCACCCTTCTGTTCGCCAAGAATGTAGCGCCACCAACAACAATAATAACCGCCATGAGCAATAAAATTCAGAACAAGTTTCAATGCCGGGCAGTCGCCAGTTATAGCATAAATTTTCAATTTATAATTTAAATGTTCACTAATAACAATATCTAAAATATAGAAAAAATGAGTCACAAATGAATTTCAATTAGAAAAATCCCATAGTATTGATCTCACTCGTACTGTGATCTTGATTTTTCTATGTAACAATAAACTTAAAGATATAAAATCACATTTTAAAATAATTACAAAACATTGTCATAGACGAATTCTATTTATCAAGAAGCCAGAGAAACTTGCAGGAGAATTGTACATTCCTCAATGAAAAGAGGGTGTGGGTGTGGGTGTGGGTGTGGGTGTCGGGGGTGGGTGTGTGGGTGTGGGGTGTGGGTGTGGGTGTGGGTTTGTAGGATATTGTTACTTGTGTGTATGATA